TAATATTAATGAAACATTTACAAGGAAGAATTAAATCCCGAACGAGTACGTATGAATACAAAATTTGTCGCCGAAATCATATAAACGCCAGCCAATAGCCACCATCCCCCTTCCCACAAACAGTGATGTCATTTTCGACCAATAGCATGATCCAGAGCATTTGAGGTTTAATCGCTCATTTATTTCTTTCATGCAAGGGGCGACCTTCCAAAGACTAAAATGGAAGCTAACCAACGATGTATCAAAAATTGCCACCCGGTACGAGTGTTAGAACAAGACTTTTGTGATTTTTGCTGACCACCCATGAAAAATGCACTTCATCTGTAGTAGGTGGCATTTAACTGTCAAAACTATGATTTCTGCATGAATGCTTAAAATTTTCAAAAGAATAAGATGCATGCCGACAACCCTTAAATGATGCAGCTTATCTGTAGTTGGTGCAACTGAACTGCCAACATACATACTTATTCCTCTTCACTCTGAATTGGAGCATATGGCTTCTATGATAGCTTTCCATCTAACTCTATTTGTGACCAGATATTTTGTCCCTCTCCATGTCTTTCATATTGTTTTTAATTCATTTACAATAATTTTACGCCAAGTATTTTTGGGTCTCTCTTTTTTTATTGCCCTTAGAGTTTCAATCAAAAACATGCTTAGCTTTAAATTTTTCAGATTTTTGTAGAACATGATTAATCCATTTCCATTTACAATTTTTGATTTCCAGATCAATCAGATTCTGCTTTACTTTTCCAAGGACTCACTGAGCTATGGCAGTGGTAGCCTAGTTACTGGTAGGGCCTCTCGAGCCGTCTAGGTCAGTGGGAAGACACCACACTAAGAGTAACACCCTGGCCTTCTAGGTTGGTGTTAGAGCAGAGGGTTAACACGTTGACTGCCATGGGAGCCATCAGTGACCAGCACTGAGTTTGTTATAGAGCCAGGGGTCTGTCTAGGTTTTTCTGAGAGGTACCTATTTTGTGAAAATTTAGACATAATTTGTGAAAAATTAAAATTTATATTTAAAAATCAACACAGAAATATGGATTTATCGTTTCTTAAGGGATACAAAAATGAAATTTTAAGAAAAAATATTTTGTGAAACTACCGTTTTTCCTAAAATAGAATTTGTGAAACTACCGTTCTTTCTAAAGTTGAATTTGTGAAGGTACCGCCAAACGGTAGTAAATTCGGCCTGGACAGATCCCTGAGAGCCCCGGGGATCACCGGTGACCGGCGAAGCCAAGATTATTAGAAACACATAATTAGAGTAAATTTTTAATGCTTTAATTTTTTATATCAACTGTTTTGTTGTAAATAATATTTCATCAAAATATGCAATGCATACTGGGAAAATCACTTCGACGGGCAAGCCATGTAAAATTAGAGTGACAATGAACGTGTTAACAGCCCTATCTCTTAAAAATATACTTGTTACAGAAGGTGAAATCCTGCAGATTCATCTCTCTGAAGTGGATGAAAACCCTCTACGAAATATGTCCCCTCCAGTTAGTATGAACCCTGGTTGTGAAAGCCAATTAAACTGCCAAATCTATGATAAACTATGTATGAATGCTGCATTGTTATGAATGAATCAAAAAATTTTAATATCTTGAATGCTACAACGATGAGGGAAAATATATTTAGTAGTGAATAGATAAAATTATTGTTGGAAAGAATGGAAAAATTAGAAAGAATTAAGATACACCTTGATACAAAATTCATGACAGCAACTCCTTTTTTGCATATTTTGCCATAACTGTGGAACTAAAGAAGCAAATTAAAAAATTTTTGTACACAAATATAAAACCTATCTATCCAAAGATAATTCCCCAGAATAATTATTTTTAATATTTTTTTTATTATTTAATTTACTTATTTTGAAAAATTTTTAAAGTTTAAGACCAATTTAATCTATGTAATTAAATAATATAAAATCTAAAATTTGAAGGACATCAGATGAATAATTCTAGCAAAATGAAAGTTTTGAAATTGGACTCTTTTAAAATGGCCAAACATGCAAAAATTGAAATTAACAGTAAGGATCCTAAGCTTTTGCCTTAACTATTATGATGATATCTTGCAGATTGCGACTATTTTCATATTTTGAGGGTCAAGAATCAAAGTCTGACAAAAAAATTTCATCCAGAGAAAGTATGTTTTTGAATTTGAGTTCAGAACTTAAAATATTGCCTGCACTAATTACTTAACATAATTAAGTACAGTATAGGACCCCTAATCCGGCATCCCGAAATTCGGCACATAATCCGATCTAATTTTTTTTTTTTTAAAGAAATTTTTATTAATAAGAGAAAAAAAATCACTTATATTCTCTTTCGATTTGGAATTTTATTCTGTTGAAGTAAGTAACTTTATTTTATCTTTCTAAAAAAAAAAAAAAGCATGAAAAAAAAATCTGTGTCAAAGGAAACATCTGTTTCTAAAGCAGTTTAAAATATCTAAAGTGAAAGGGAAAAGTAAAAACACCTGCATTTTCAATGAACAAAATAAAGAAAAGCATGTTGTAAGAAACTGATCAATCAATCTTGACAGCTGTGCAAGTGCTCTACTGGTTTCCCTTCTTACCCCTTGGTTTCCTCTCCAGTTTGACCATAAATTAACCACCCCCTTTTGATAATGAAGATACCATGTGGGATACAAACTGAATTCTATCCCTTTTGCTGCTTTTCTTACTTGATGTAAATTATACTCTTTTGTTTTTTTATTAGTTATTAACTGCTCGTTTTTTTTTTGTTAATTGATAGCTTGTTTTTTTTAATCATATTTAGTTGTTAGCTTGTTTTTTTTATCATTATTTGTTGTTAGCTTATAAAAAATATATACAGTGTAATGTCTCATTTCCCGGACACTTTTTAATAATCAAAATAAACAAACATCTCTCCATCTTCCCCTTTCCTTAAAAAAAAAAAAAAAGTCTTTTGACACATTTTCTCTTTTTCTAACTTGCACTGAACCTCTGATTAATGCATCCAACCCATCAATCACCAGAAAGGGGAAGTGAAGATCTACCAAGACCATTGAGTGACCGTTAGTGACGCTCCTCCCTTGGAATGTAGGAAAAAGAGGGAGATTTGTTTTCAAAAGACCACAACTGAGTCCCCTCCCCCCCCCTCCTTTCCCAAGCAGGTGGCTAGTAAATGAGGCATTTCTTGGAACCTTTTTAATGAAAGAAGAAATACTGGGGAAAAGGGTAGACGGGGCAAGTGTTAAGGTGGAGGGGGCGTCAAAATGGAAAATTTGAATAGGTCTAAAAGGATACACGTCCTTGAGAAACAAAACATTCGTTCTTTCCCATACCATGTATTATTTAGGAGGCGGGGGAAAAGGGGTTAGCATTCTTTCTTTAGCAGATTCTTTCAGTCATAGAAGAAAAAATAAAGAGAACACGATCAGCGTGCTCCGCCTTTATGCTTGATTGATAGCCAATGATTGGAGAGAAAACAATAATTTGTTACTTCCCCACCCTCGACTTAAATGATCTCCTCTTTACAATTATTTTCTTTCACAAATAAGGAGGAAATGAATTTTTCTCCTCCACCTACCCACCTTAATGAATGACGGGAATTTCCCTTTCTTACTTGAATCATTCTAGTTAAAAATGGTGGATTATTATTTTCATATGTCAATTTTTTTTTGTTCTCTATATTTTAAGCAATAATATTTTTTTTCTAATATTTCATATTTTATTGATTAGATATTCTAATACTAAAACATTATTCCCCTTAAAAATAATGTTTATTTATTTTTTGCTTCTTAGATTTAGATCATTTTAAGCTTTGTTCCAGAATTTCCCCTTCCTGCTTGAATCATTCTAGTTCAAAATGGCGGATTAATATTTTCGTAACTGTTAAATTTTTTTCGTTTTCCATATTTTCAGCAATAATATTTTTTTTCTAATATTTTATATTTGATTGATTAGATATTTTAATGCTAAAACATTATTCCCCTTAAAAATAGTGTTTATTTATTTTTTGCTTCTTAGATTCAGATCGTTTATTAAATCATTTTAAGCTTTGTTTACCTTGGGGGTCTATTGTACGGAAAAATCTATTATACGGACTTCTGGAAGTCCCAGCGATTCCGGATACGTGACTTTACACTGTATTGTTATTTCTATTCTATAGATTATATTTTAATTAATGAGATTTCTTAAGATAGGACAGTTTCACCTACTACGATCAAAACTTAACTAAATTTATTGGAATTAATTAATTTTCTGAAATTAGCAGTATAATTGAATTATTGTAATATATGGGTGCCATATTGGAATTTCCGAAAGAGATCCGAAATTCGGCAAATTCCGAAATACGGAATTTCGTCGGTCCTGTGAGTGTCGGATTTGGGGTCCTATACTGTATTACTTAACATACTTAACATGAAAACAATCAGTTAATCATAACTTATTAAGGTGTTCTTTTTTAAGGCACTATATAATAAATGATATGTATGAATTGAGTAGAGATCTTTATTACTTAATTTGAATCGTGAAGTCACATTTTTCAATTAAAAACTAAGTCAATACTTGTCGACTTTTCCAGAAGATTTTATTTTTGTATTTAATGCGGTAGAAAATTTTTTGCATTCATGCACATTATTAACAAATTTGAATTAGGATACTTTTAACTACCACTATAATTAAATAGTTAAAACATACATATAGAGAACCAGTTACTTAATGTGATCCAAAAGGTGAATTAAGTATTTGCCTACAATATAACTTATGTAACTAATAGTTATTTCACAACCACCGGAAAAAAGCATTTAAGCATGCGAAAGTTGGTTGGTTGGTATGTAATTCGTATATTTGTAATTGAAAATACCTTTTACATTACAGTCACAAAAGTAGATGTTTTTTTTTTTTTGTTTTTTTGCAAAGAAGAAAACTATTTGAAATAAACAGCATTCCTAAAGGAAATAAAAAATTAACTATAACTTTCCAGAATTTTAAATATTTTCGGCATCCAGCATACTAGACTTACCGTCTAAAATCTTCAATTTTTAAAGCAGCTGTGTGCTCAGTTACATCTCCTGTTGCAATTTCATCTTCTAACCAGGCAAAAAATTCACACATTGCCACTGCATCTTTGACCTGATAAAAAATTACACATAAAATAACATTTTATCTGTCTTAAACAGGAAACACATCAATAAGATCTGGAACAAATATCATAATCTGCAAACTTTGTTATTAATAAGAAAATATATTGGTGTATAATAAGTGATGTTCTGCATGCTATTAGCCATGGATAATATTGTTTATCATTCCCAGCTTAACTTTAATTCTTCTACTAATTTTTAAGAATGAATATTTAAATTGCTGCACCTTTTTAATTTAAACATGAATAATTTGAACTTACAACAATACCCTAAGTCTTACCTATTGCAGGGATGAGAGTAGTCAGAAAGTAAAAAAGAGGAAATCCAAGAAAATATATATATATATATATATATTTATATGTATAACAAAATAAATATAAGAAAACACGAAGAAAGTTAAGAAAAACAGTAAGTTTAATTTATTGTGCATAAGCTGCAAGTAAACAGAACTCATTAGATAAGTTCAAAATGAAGATAAAACAAAGGAAAAAAACAGACATGCAAAAAAAGGGGGGGGGGGGAGAATAATAATGAAAAAAATAACAAACAATTGATTAAAAAAATTTTAAAAAAATGAAATTTTTTTAAAAAAAACCGGAAAATATTTTCTGGTTTTTTAAAAAATTTCATCCTTCTTTTTAAATTTTTTAATCAATTGCTTGTTATTTTTTGCATATGTCTATAATTTTCCTTTTTATCTTCATTTTGAACTTTTATATATATATATATAAACAAATATTTGACAAAAAAAGCGTGATTTTTAAACCTGTAAACCATGTGATTATAAATCCCGATATGAGGCTTTTAAATCACATAAATATGAAATTCTACATCGAATTTAAAAAATGCGAAAACACAAATCATGATGCGTAATTTTTAGATCACGATGCATAATTTTTAAATCGCGCGATATTACAACCGCAAAAACAAATCACGACACTGGATTTTAAGCTCGCGTGAATACGAATTGCTACATAGGGTTTTAAAAGCTTGTAAATACAAATCGCGATATTGGCTTTTTAAATCTCGTAAATAAGAATCGCAATGTACAACTTTTAAGTCAGGTAAATACGAAAATCGATGTTTGATAATAAAATCGCGATTTTAAAAATGCATAAATACAAAACACGATATTGGATTTTTATATCTCGTAAATAAGAATCATAATGTACGATATTTAGATAGCGTAAATAAGAATCGCAATGTGCAACTTTTAAATCAGGTAAATACGAAAATCAATGATTGATATTAAAATTGCGTGAATAAAAATTTAGATATTTGCAGACTCTGGACTTGGGATTTCAAAAAGGCTTGCTTGTATTGTTTTTGTCTAGATATAATAAATAAAAATTTACAAGATTAATTGAATGAGCAATTAAATATTTTCACCACAAATCCACCTCTCTTTTTTTTTCTCCTTTTTTTAGTTTTCACGCCTGAATACAAGAAGCAACGACGTCTGAATTACGAAAATACGAGCTATCCTGCCGACGGATAAAAAATACGGAAAATCTTATTTTCTGTGCGTGAAATCGGAGAAAATAGCTAATATAAGTAAAAATGCGGACGGGTTAGCAGCTAGGACGTAGTTTCAATTTTCTGTTTATCTTGAAAATCGTAAACAAATATAATTATTTTACTTCAACAACTGAATTTTTTTAAAAAAAAGTGGGATATTTATAAAAAAAAAAAAAAAAAAAAACTAAACTTTTAGATAATCAGAGTTTTTGATAAAAGGGCTGAAATTTGAGAGACAAAAAAAAATCTCATCCCTGTATAAAGGTCAACCAGTTTTATCCCAAGGAAATGATTTTTAGAGAAACTTCAGAGGGAGGAATAAGGACTTCAATAATTTCGCTCCGCGGAATTAAATTCCTCATAAAATATTTTAACTTGCGCAAAAAAAAATTTAAGCGGAAATTAGCGGGAAAAATCTGAAAAAAATCGGAAATCCGCGAATCCGCAGAAGAATTTCATCCCTGCTATTGACCACTGTGCATACCTGCCAACTATGGTGAAATAAAATAACGGAGATTTTACTAACAATATTTTTTGGGCTACAATTAAAGTTTTGAAGCGAAGTAAAAGTATGTATGAGTAGCGAAGTAAAAGTATGTATGAGTAGCGAAGTAAAAAATATGTACATAAACCTTAATCTAAAGATTTTTTAAAACCATTATTTATAATTACTTAACTATAAACACTCAACATATGGCAGTACTGGCAACAGTACTATCTGTTGCAAATAAGAAGTATTTTTGCCATTAGTGGATATTTTATTGCAAAAATTCTAAATTAAAAATAAGGATTTAATAATTGGTAAATTCTTAACTAAAATATTTTATTCTTAACTAAACTTTTTAAACAAATACGGAGAAATTTGAGAATATAAACAGGATAGAGTCGTGAAATACAGGAGTCTTCGTTAAAAAACAGGAGACTTGGCAGGTATGACTTTGTGGAAGTTTTGTTATTAATTTGAATTTTTCCTGTTACCTTTTTAGTTAATTTGAAATGCCACGTAAAAGAAATCAGGATTTTTAAAGTAAGATTAATAAAATCATAAAATAAGCCATGTTTTTAGAAAAAGAATTTAAAGTAGATAAGAAGGCTATAATGGTGCCAATCAAATAGCTTTAAAGTTCTCTGCTTCATTTAATTCATAAGAGCATTTATTCATTGCAAATTTAGTTCAGTGGCTCACTTCTAAGTCTTTCTTTCTCAGCAATAAGAAACAGTCTTTTCATCAACCTCAATGGTGTAGCCAAGAGGGTTTTGCAAATTAAAACCCCTTCAAGAAATCACCATACAAATTAAATTGATCAATCAGGAAAGATATTTATTTCATAAAAATATACTTCATGATAATGAAAAATGTAGTAAAATGATATTAATTGAAAAATAAACACAATGCAAAAAAAAACTGCAAAGCTTGCTATTACTTGCCGTTTCAGTTTTGATGTATCAAGTAGCTGCAGTACATCACCCATAAGGACTGCATGACGATAATAGAACAAGTATGAAAATTTTCAAATTATACAAAAATTTAAATTATCCAAAGAAAGTTGTGTATAAAAAAAAGTTCAAATGCTTAAAACTGCCATCTTTTATACCTCACAAATCAAAATTTTCTAGTTGTGCCATTTACCAACCTTATAATACTTATTATTTTTATTCTATACACATTGATACTAGCTTATATTTTCCAATTTAAGGCTCAAAATTTGAGATTTTGAATTTAGGTTTGTTTTAGGCTTATTCTTTTGGGGTTATTAAAAAAATTTGATGATTACAAACATGCTAAGATAATTTTATTATTTTTAATTTTGATGCCACTTTTTGAGATTTTTGAGCAGCATACAAATCTAGGAAGTTGAGAAGAATGTGGAATATTGGCTAGTAATTTTTTTAAAACTTGTGTAAGAAATGAATCATTCTATAGTACCATAATTTCACGGAGAAACGCCGCATCCTCAAAAATCGGCTGAAAGAAAAAAGCTTTTCACCGGGCACGCCGCGCGGAATTTTTAACAATTAACGAATTTTGAACTAAACGCGGGTATTGAATAAAGACTTAACACATGCTCTAAATACGCATATGTATATAATTTAAATAGTTAAATAAAAACCAATAAAAGGATATTGAATATACAAAAAACTATAAACAATCCTAGTATATAAAATAGATTTCAATAACTTTCTAAGTAAAATTAAGCATTTTCTAATTTTAAAGTGAAGTAACCATTAAAATATAAATAAAATTACTAATATATCGAAAAGCATTAAAATAAATATGAAAGTATTTAAAAATAAAACGATCTTACTTTTAAATCAACAATTCAAATTCCTGCTTTAGAAATAAACGATAAATCCAAACAGATTTTGTTCAAAGAAAAACTTAAGAATAATTTATTTAGATATCACCTATCACTATATATTCATATCACTGTACTTAAAAATCCCTCAAAATCAGAACTCTCCGTATCAGAGCAAATTAGGTTCACTGGTTAATTGTTTATTTCGGGTTAATCTCTGTCACTCACACTTTAAGCCTCACTTTGGGTTTCGTTTTGTCCCGGAATGATTTCCGCTTTTTTGAAGCCATTTATCACAGTTTCTTTTTCTCTTTTAATTGCTGACAGCTTAAACGCAGAGGTATAATTTTTCCTCTTCATGGGAGGCATTTAAAATGAATAACTTAAATACAAGTATGTTAAAACAAAACGAAAATAGTATAAACGAAACAAAATATTAACGAAAGAAGAATATTAATGAAATAAAAAAGCATCAGAATTGAAGATAAGCATTTAAAACAAGTTTCTATTTTTAGCAATTCCTCCCCCCATTTTCGCTTCTCAAATCAGGTTTCTTTTTTTAACTGACACCGCCTAGGATGGTCTTTCTCTTATCCCTGTCTATAATTCTGACACACTTTGCTTTTCTTTCTCTTCACTGACCCTCAGTTGAAAGTTTGAAATTATTTTTGAACATTCTAATTGTAAGATTATTGAAGGTCATTCCAAGCTCATCAGCACCCTTTATACAACAAACATTCACATGTTTTTAACAACCAGCTGAAGAAAAAAGGGGAGTGGAGAGGTGTCCATGACAAGTGGAAGAGACATATTCCCTGGAAAAAACGGGGTGGGGGAAGCATTTGTTTTACAGCTGACATTATCACTGGCCCCACCCTGATTTCCTTCATTCATTCCTTTCTGATTTATGCTTCTCTATTCCACGCCCATTTCCTACACTCAACAGCTGTTCATATGGCAGAAGGGAAAGAGAGACTTTGTTCTCTTGTGGATAGTGGTCTACAGAAAGTGATTCCAAGAAAGGATTGGGGAGTGTGGGGAGGGGAAAATTCCAGGTGTGCTGACAATTCCTTGGAGTAACATTAGGCACGAAAAAATAAATAAAAAGCACAGTAACAGGTGAAAAAAATGATGATGAAATTTCCAGTGGGGTTTTTAAAAAGCACAATTTTTTAAA